AGAGANNNNGGTCTGTCTCTTATACACATCTAGATGTGTATAGAGAGAGAGAGAGAGAGAGAGAGAGAGAGAGAGAGAGAGAGAGAGAGAAAAAACCTGCTTGGCGGCTGGCCTCCCACTACTTTCATTCATAGGAAGAGCAAAATTGAATGAATCCACTAATAGAACATGGAAATATGCACCGCCATACTGTTTTCCCCCCTCCTCTGTTTTTTTTTAAGGCTCATCTGTGCCCGTTCGTTTTGTTGAACGGGTTGCAGATGGGCGTCCGAACCTGGCGCCGATGGCGCCTAGATGCAGGGGCACTAGAAAAAAAGGGGTATAAACCCTTCCCATGTCACAGTAGTGTCCGTTCGTTTTGGAACGGACAACAGGCAGGTATTTATTTATTATTATTATTATTTTTTCTATCTTTTTTTTTTTTTTATTCTTTTTGTTTTTACTTCTTCTCTTGTTTTGTGATAGGACTGCGCCCGTTTGTTTTGAAACGGAAAGCAATACTGAACGCGCCTGGATCTAGTACCCTTCTTGTGCTAGATACAGACGCGGGTGAAGACCCTGTTGAGCTTGACACTAGTTGGACTGAAGTGCCCTGCCCTTTTGCTGCTAAGCAACGGGCTGACCCCCTCACAGGGAAACGAGGGGATGAGGGGGAAAATAATGAGCAACGGCCACGTATGTGGCCGCGGTAGGTGGTGAGGTGCAGGTGTGAATATGTGTTGCGCTTGTTCGATTTTTGAACAGGCAACATCAATTTTGGCTAGGTACATTCATTTCCTAAAGCATGGGGTCAGGGAAAATGGCTAGATGCTTCTGGAATTGACAGACCCTGGTTCCCCTAGGGGAACATCAATGATTCTAACCCTTGATCGCAGGTCCGAATCAAGGGCTCAGAACAACTACGTTTTTTTGATGTGGGCAAATGTCTTCGGTTGGCTATAAAAGCAGCTCCCCACCCAATAATCTCACACTTATGGCAATGCTGCTGGGGTATTCTACTTGAAGTAGATGCTGACTTACTGGCTGCTGGTGTAGTGAGGGAGTGTTGGCGAAGTGCTGGAGGTCTGCAGGAGCACTAGGAGAAGAGACATGCGACGACCATAGTTAGGAGGCTGGAGCTCATAGCCACTCCTCGACACTTGGTGTTTTGGCCGCTAGGCTGCGTCTAGACTAGTGTAGTGGACGAGATGCTGCTGGAGGAGAGAATGGAGGTCTGCAAAGAGAAGGAAAAGGAAGGCAGCCATAGTTAAAGGCTAGGCGTCTGGGAGCTCACTGCCCCACCCTTGCGTTGGTGCTATAGCGGTGAGGATGTGCCGAGGGCCAACGGCGCGGCAAGGTATTCCTCATTTTGTGGGATTATGCCGCAGAGATTTCCGCACGGCGGCAACGACACTTCGGTGGTGAGGTGCTGCTGGATTGACGACGTGACGACATCAAGGTCTCCCTAAGGGGAGATGTTGTCCGTTCGACGACACGACAACGATAATATTTTTTTGGTGGGGTTATGCTGCCAAATTTTTGGCACCACAACGACACTTCAGTGGGGAAGTGTTGCCAATGTTTTTTGGTATGACAGCATGGTACCGATTTCGACGACGCGGCGAGCGACAGTCCTGCTTTTTATTTTTGAGGTGTGTGGTGATGGTGGACCATTCTGGCATGGTCCAGCGGTAGTGTGGGTATTAGTGTACATTTGGGATTGTGCGACAGTGGTGCGTGGACCGGCGGCAGGAAGAGTGCGGAGTGAGTGCATAATGTGATCGTTGGGGCTCGCGGCACATGCGGTTTTGAGTCAGGGCCATTTTTTTTTTGCGGTATGCGGAGCGAGCAAGGTTTGAGTCTGGGACCATCCGATGCTACGACGGAAACGTGGGACCGTCTGGGACCATTTTGGGAGCAGGTGGGATTGATTTTGAGATCGGGACTGACAAGTTCGTGTGGCTATTGTTGGCAGACGTGGTGAGAGGTGGTATGGACTTGAGGCTGGTTGGGGAGTATCCTTGGCGGTCAAGGTGCAATTGAGACTGTGTTAGGACGGTACAGGACATTTGGACCACATGAAAACTCATTTGTGGGAACACCCTCCTGGAGGGCTATCTCGCGTTAGTTTTTTTGTGTCTCTACTCATCCGACACTTGGAGGAAGAGGCGAACCGTCATTCAATGGAACAACCATAACTTGTGGAGTTGTGGGTCGTATATTTTAGACTTCAAAAGCGGATATCTTTGATTTGATTGACATATTACTCGACTTTCTTGAGTGAGCCGGATCAAACTTCACTCAAGGTCAGTCAGTTGATTGACTCAGGCTTCCCTTCACACTTGTGTCAACCCACACTTTGCTTGACCCTGTTGTTTTGAATGCTCGAAAGAAATGGCAGAGGAAAGTTGTGCGAGTCATGCATGTGAAGGAAAAAGTATGACTTGAGTATGAGATGATGTTGTTTTCCTTTGAACTTATTTTATTTCTCTATTGTGCAGATAAGCAGAAAAATTATTCTAAAGGAAATCGATTATGCCTATTTGCGATGAACAAAATGATGTCCTCTTTCTACCTTTCGCCTGCCTGCTTGTTAAAAAGACTTGTTGTAACAGTTCTGAAAAATATCAATTTAGTGTATGTCGTAAAATGAACTCGATTGAAACAAAACAGATAATTTCAAAAGAACTTAGTTTTTTCATGAGGTTTACCCGTTCTATCCTGAATGGCCTTATCTACCTATACCTGTCCAAATGATTCTCATTTTCTATCTCCGGTTGATTTTTTTTTCGTCCGAGTTACCCTGAACTAAGGAGAAATGATAATAATTAAAACCTACTTGAGATGAACACATTCTTTTTATTCAGGAAGCATCTGGGGCGACGGTTCGTTGCTTTAGGAACCGATCCTGTTATCGACTCAGAGTGGACCGTTCTACGGGGGGATACTTTGCCGATTTGGTGGAGACGACCCGACTTTTGAGATCCGAGTCTTGTGCTCGGGCGAGGAGGAGGAGTACCCCAGACCACTTCCTAGAGGGAGAGACATGCAACACTTCAAGCAATGCACCTGATGAAGAATCATTCGCAAAGTAGCCTATCATCCAAGAAGTTTAGGAATGTATAGAGACATGTGTGAGTGTGTCTAATCTTAAGTCGGCGGTTAATGATTTTGATAACGTGTCTCATCAAGTCAAAATTAAGGCAGCCGATTACCTTGTCGGCTGTATCAGTGTTATTGTCGGTAGCCAACTCTTCGTTGACAGTTGTATGATTGTTTTGTAGAGTTCGACCTGGGCGGTTGAATTTTATTTTGATCTTGTATTTCTGGATGTATCAAATGAAGATTTGGATTCTCCAAGTTATTACTTTGGATTGAATATATATTTTTATCGACTACGGTCGATTCCTTTTAAAGTAAATATTTATGGATGTTAGAATTTTTGTTTGACTGTGTGTTTAAGGGACAATGATTAATATTCGGGGTTTCATGCTTGGTTGAGACCGTCCTAGGCGACCGACGTTCGCTTTGTACTTAGGAGATCAATGCGCTAAGGGACGGACGACGTCCGGGTCCGCTTGGCATTAACCAAGCGTATCTATTCTACAACGAATGAGCAAACGCCCTCGGCTGACCTACCTCTGCAATTGCATTTAAAATTTTTCGCACATGGGTCAGTAGCTCGGTAGGGATACACCTTTAAAGGTGGTGACAGCCCCTTAGGGAAGGAAAGTTTGTGCCCCGCGAAAACCTATCTTGTCGTAGGGGACCGCGGGAGTATAACTGGCGCACCCGGCTAGAGAGGCGATGGGACAACGACACCGCGTCTCCCTCGGCGGTTCGCGGGATTATTTTGCGTCGTTCCCAAGTTGTCTCTGTTTTGTTATGGTTTACTCCTGCGTGACATGGCCGGGAGGGCTCTCGCCTTTTGCGAAAAAGGCGGGAGCCGATGCGCTCGACACCGTGCTAGCTAAGCAGGGTGATATCGATGGACTGATGAAACTAATGGACAGAGGGCATACTCATACTACTACTCGTGAAAATGTATCCCCCCGATATCATGTCCAAAACTTAGTTTCAACTTTTTTTCGTCTTTTGTATCCCCCCGCTATCATGTCCAAAACTTAGTTTCAACTTTTTTTCGTCTTTTGGTTGTAACGCCCTCACAGAGGGTATACTCTCAGAACAAGTACTCTAAGCTTCTAAAGATGGTATCCAACTACTATCTCATCCAAAGTGTTATTTCTTCTCTTGTTTTTCTTTGATTTTGACTGTTGTGGGGAAAATTAATTTCGTAAGAGTAAACAAAAGAAAAACACCACAAGACCCAGGCTCAACAAAACTCAGCGCGCAGTGACATTCGGGTTTGGTTAAAACAGGAACGGAGGTAGTCACGGTGGTGGTTTAAATTGACAGTACGCGGCCCTAACCTTGATGAAAATGCAACTCTTCGCCTATGAAAGTTTCGGAGGCTCGGCCTACCGGACGGTACTGGCTGGCCACGCTCCCCAAGAAAGAAAGAAAGTGCGCAACTGGCGATTCAAGGCGCCCGGGTGTGGTTGGCACACCCAAGAACTGTTGAATTACATACCTGAGTTCAAATCCTGCTGAACTTTGATGGAATAAATCATTCTGAAAGGGCCGAGGTTCAGAAGGATTTGAACTCCGGTATGTATTTTCAACAGTTCTTGGGTGTGGCAACTGAGGCAGGCTGCTGCCCCCAACTGGGCCTACCGGATTACGAATCTGGCGCTGCCAGATTCAGGAGAGTAGAACAACACCCAAACAAAACCGCCAGGTGGGTGACTCACCCGATCTTTTGAATCGAGCGGCCAAAATCATTCCGTCTGGCTGACGGGGCTTCCACCTGGCTGACGGGGCTTCAGAACAGTAGTCAACAGATCGACTTCGGGCTGCCGAAAAAAGGTAAGTGGTCCGGCTGGGGGAAGCTATTTTCATTTCCCAAAAACGTGTGTACGGTAATTGGCGCTCTTCCGAAGGCCCGACTGCGGTTTCAGGGGCTTCCCTTCATCTTTTTTGTTTCTCCCGCTCTGGAGCGCACATGCGCGCCTCTCGAAGTCTCGAAGAAGAACACCCAGGCCTCGGGCAACAACACCCACGCCTCGAACAACAAGCCTTGAACAACAACACCCAGGCCTCCGACAACAAAATACCTGACACCTGTACTTAAACATCCAATTCATACAGGTGGAGCAGCGACGACTCCAGCAACGCCACCGAGTCGGACGTGACGTGTGTGCGCACACATGAGAGAGAGGACGAGAGAGAGAGAGAGACAGAAGGAGGTTGGATTGTTTGCACTGCGGGCGACAGGCATAACAGTGCAACATAGGAGAAGAAGACACAGAAGCAGTGAAGCACATAAGGTATAAACAAGTTATGGGCCTCGCCACACCACTCCTGGAATGTGCAAAATGGAGGATGTGTATTCCGCAAAGACAGAGAAAGATACCTGCCATAGTTCTGTCTTTTTCACATTCGGGGAGTGGTGTGACGATGACCTTTCTCACATTCTCGCCTTTTATCTTTTGTTTCCGCTCTTTTGCTCTCACGTCGTCGTCCTGGTTCGGAGTTGTCCTTGGTTCGGCGCGCTCACCTCCTGATGCGTTGGGGAAAGTTCGACGCAACAGTCTGACACAGTCGTGCTTTTCTTTGTGGTGTCGTGTACAGAGGATGTGACCACACACACACACACACACACACACACACACACACACACACACACACACACACACACACGGGCACAGTCATGCTTTTTTTGAGTATATAGAGAATATGACAACACACACATACACACGCACACACACACAGAGAGAG